AAACTTACTCGGCCTCTTATGATTACCCGAAGACGTGTTAATTTTCACTTTTAACATCTCGCGATCACGCAGTTACGTTATCGGCACGTTCTTGCCGGTGGTCTCTTTCTCGATTTTTTTCCTTCCCGTTTAAGCTCCCGAACGAGAAGTCGACGCTCGCGATTGGTATCACTTCGCTCTGGCAGTAAAAGTAATCACCGTAATTATTTGCCTATTTGATGATTCCGCACAGTGAAAGTATAAACCGCTCACTCGAGGCTGACCGTGCGAACCTTTTCCGCAATCGGCCGCGTTGTGTGCGCCGTTAAAAATATACAGAAAATTCATACACCTAAGGTACATAATCTTGTACTCACATTATAAGTCTTAAGAGTCTTAAAAATAAATTAGTATACGTTTCTGACACTGAGAAACAAAAGAATGCATTGAGCGAAAGAAATCTTTTGTTAATTCAAAGAATAACGATTTGCCTCAAATGAACGCAAATAAATTGTCATCATTCCGAAGAAACGTAGTGCTTCGAATTCACTCGAGTTCATTCCAATAGATTTAAACGAATTTTATTTACTCCTCTGACATTTCTATGGACGTATTTGATTGCAACATTTTTTTTTCATAGCAATGCATTTTTCTTCTGAGTGCAATGAAATTGTACTAAAATTACAGTTTCCTTTTTTTCTTTTTTTTTTTAACAGGCGTTAGAGAGCAACAATGCCGTTTTGCGATCAGTGTCCTTGCAAAGATGCAGCGTTCCTCCGAGAACCGCGGATTCCGCGAAGAATCCGCATTCACGGCTGCGGAGATCCGCGAATCGGCGCGGTTTCGGCCGAGCGGACGACTCCTTTATTTCTGCACTTTGGTACATAAATTCGGGTCGGCACGATGCACCGAGGCGGAATGGAATTCCGGGAATTAGCATCGATCGGCAGAAGTAATATGCATATTCCTCGGAGATTGATGTTGCGGTAATGCCGGGGCGGGCGAAATTTCGCGGAAACCGCGGCGTTTCAGCACGTATGCGCGTTATAAGGCGCAGCTATTAACGCAGGCGTGCAGGACCGCGGTGCAATACGTCTCCATTAGCGGATCAAATAAACAATCCTTAAGCCATAATCTGTCGCTCCCTTTCCTCTTCCTGCTACGCGTGCAATTCGCTTTACGGCGCCCGAGAAAGAGCTCGACACTCGTTGGAAACGATCGGGTCGAAATAATCTCATTCGAGCCTCTAAATCCACTCTTTTGATCTTTTCATGCATCTTTCCGACAGAAATTTCACCTTCATTCAGCTCACCGCAGAGTAGTTCACTTTCCTCGCTAGAACATTAAAATGTCTTACGATCCAGTGAGAAAAGAAAAATCACGGAATAAAACAGAGAAACCCATTAGAAACATTCAATTGCGTTGTTACATTCATTTAAATCAGTATCTTAAATTCTGAAAATTTCTCTCATTTTGAGAATCAAGAGCTTCAGAGTCCATATTTCTTAATAAAACATTGAGAAATTTTAGGATACCGTCATAAAATATAAGGAGTAAAATTCAGAAACGCAATTAAAAATGTTTCGATGCATTGCTACGTTCACGAAAGGCTTAAATATGTAAAATTTAAGGCTGCAGTTTATATTAATAATTTTTCGATTATTTTATTGACATTTCCTTATCATAAATTCTCATATTGCCTTCCAAATGGTTATGTGCGTTCAATAAACTCTTCATATACGTGGTAGCCGTTTTCGCCTCGGCTGGGTCAATAAAATCGCGACTCCAGTTCCAACTGACTACTAGTTTCCGATAAACTCGGTCTTTCGGTATTTTCACCGGCAATATCGAGCACTTATCGATACCCGACGCGATAATTGCACACTCAGGCGCCGGTAACTCGAGGATCGCCGATTGTAGATACGTGGCTATATCGGAGATTAATATCGCGATCGCGAGGAACGAGATCGACATTACCGCGTCAAATATTTTATTAGCCGCGATCGCTCGGGCAGATATGTAAATTTAATTAAAGACCGATGGAAATAGATATTGGTAATTAGACGGGAGAGTATAACGCCAGCGAAGGGCGGGCGTTAGTTATTAATTTAATAAGATACTTTCATTAGGCGAGGGTGTCGTTTCGAGTGGTTGCTAGTTTCCCGTCTTGATTAACGATCATCGGGTTTCTGGATTTTATCCCAGGTGCACACGTGGCAGACTTTTATATCATATCTCTTAAGGTGATATGAAAGTGGCGTCAGAGGTCTCGTTTATGAAACCTTTCTCCTAATTAAGGATACCGAATCGTTGAAAACTTTACAACGTAATTATGGGGGCTATAACGAAGGTCCTGAGGACCATGAAATTTCATTCTTTATAAAAAGAATGTCTGTAAATAAATTTGGAAATAATTGATATTCCATGGGTGTCGGGACCTTCCTTCTAATCTGCATATTCACATTCTCATGTTCGAAACGATTCGGTGCACCCAGTTCGGAGAAAAGTTTCACGAACGATTGACCTCTCGGATGCTACTTTTTTATCTCCTTAAGCATATGTCATTGGTATATCCACGTTGTGGGGGGATATAGCGTGGTCTAAATCGAAACAAATGACCTCGGGTTAGGGGGACGGTTTTGTAGGTATCATCGAGTTAACGCACACGGAAGGACGCGTCTCGGCCCACCCTTGTTCCCGTGTTAGCACTAAATGAACCATCAGGGTCGCCATAAATCCTGAGGCTATCAGATGCGGGACCACAGGCTTGGCTGTCCCGGATGCAACGAACGACCACCGCCCAGCATAATCCAAGCACTCCTTGTCAATGCTCAATTGACGCTATAAAATCAAGGGCCAACCCAGACAGCCAAACCTACTTCCTACTGACTTAATATCGCAGTTTTACACTAGTCACGGCATCCAACAGCTGTTCGTGTAGTACTTCACGGACCCTATTCTCTACTTCATACGATCATCTTTCGCATACAACTTTCAAATGTTGACCAATGACGGGACTTCACAACAATGCAACATTTTCCTTGCGAATCTATTGATATGCGAAAAAAAATCCTTACGAACTAAAGAATCGGGTCCCGGACCTTTACATCGAAATTAGCTCCTCCTAGCTACTATAGTCTAGTAATCGCGACAATTTTCCACTATTTTCCTCTTCGGCGATGATTGCAGGGGACGAGCGAGATCCGCAGGGATTTAATGCGCTGACCGAACGACCTCTTTGTACCGGTTGATAGGGCGTGATAAGGAAGGGCCCTGGTCGAGGCGGAACTGTCCCTTGGAGCATCAGCTGGTCTCTGACTCTGCGGTAGCAAGTTGCTTGTGGTAGGGCGGATAAAGTCGAGGGGCATTGTTAATTACACGGTCAGTTGGCATCGATGTGGCTCCTGTAGGGAGCTCGAGCCTGAGTGCCCAGTAAAGATGGCATCGTGCACACTAACGAGTAACAAGTGGCGTGACGTTTCAGTTAGGCTTTGCTCCAAGGAGTTCCAGCGCTGCCGAGGTATCGGTATGCCACGACGAGCCACCTATCGCCTCACCTCCGGAGCTAATTAACTCCTGAGATTCATTATCGACACCTTGCCGCTCTTCGGCAGTGTCTTCATTTAAGGTTCTTCGTCCGAGATACCGCCCTCTTACGCATCCCTGCATCGATCCTGGAAAAAAAAGGAACGCTTCCTTTTACCATCTACACCGAACCGTGCCAAGAGAGTCGCGACTCTCACGGCGTCTGCTTAATTACTTCCATATAACTAATTATGCCGCAATTCATACGGTTATCCCGAATTTCCATATTTTCTCTTGAACCATATGTAGCTTACTGACGTCATCAAGCAATGGATAAGAGAATTGCTGAATTTGTCTTGCACCCTGCCAACGCTCCGGCGATGCCGCCATTTGTAAGCCGCGCGAGTTTGCATAAATGCAACTGTGCGCTGCATCGAGTTAGTTACGCTTAAATGCAAATCGGTTTGTTAATCGATCTATTTAGACCCCCGCACTGAATGGCATAGTGGGCCTGTCCACTCGACTCGTCGACCTTGAATATTCAAGGGAAATGGTAAATATTTCGGAACCTTCGGCGTCGTTAGGCGGGTTTACATCAGTTGCTTACGTCATCCATGGTTGGTCTCGTTAAACCGAAACATAGGAGATACGTTGGAAATTTAACCTCTTTTGGCATGGTCTAAGATTACTGGCCGTTTCTCACCTTCGGGGAGACACTTCCCGATTAATATTAATGATAATCCCGCCGTCAGTGGCCCTGGTTTACCGTTCAGCCAATTAATTCCACCTGAAAGCCAAAATAGTTGATTTCGATTACTCAGGCGATCTACGTCAAAATGCAAAAGCACGACTTGGTTCGCTCGACCTCGTTTAATATTTCCTGTTATATCTGGCTTTCTTTCCAAGATAATTCCGTGTCGCTGCTTATTAAAATCGTTTATATTTATTGCGCTATGAACGTGCAATCACCTTTCTATTTTTATTGCTATCCAATAGTGCCGTTATCAAGTCGATGCTAGGTTAGAATTGAAAAATGGTGGTCCTAGATTTCAAGCAGTTGGTTTATATATAAATTATGTATAAATTAATTGTTTGTGGACTGTTTGTTAGGCATGCATAGCCCCTGTAGATTATGTACAGTAATTATTGAGGTTACACCAATCGCCTCCGTGGCGCAATTGGCTAGCGCGTTCGGCTGTTAACCGAAAGGTTGGTGGTTCGATCCCACCCGGGGGCGTTTATTTTTTCCACGCAATTCATATTTTTTAGGTTATTAAACAAATATACTCGCTTAATAATTGCATCTTTCAAATTAATTGTAGGATTTACAGCTGTTACGATTGAAATAGGTTTAAATATTGGTTTTAGAAAGGGCTTGTGATTCTTCGCATTTCCGCTAGATGGTGCAGGAATGCAATTTCGCCTCGATCTTGTAACTCCTGGTGGTGGTCAAAAAATAAAATTTTAGGCCCACAGATGGCGGTCTACGACATCTACGAGGAGCTGACACGTTTACCGGAATAACCATTATATGCATTTATCACATTGTGTTAGTTTTACTTGGTATTTTAAGTTTCTATCATATGTTTTATTTAATCTTCCGGAGAGGTGTAAATAAATCGTACCCAGTTTTTACCGACGTTACTGGTCGGGAATTGCTGTTGAATTGGTGAATAAGGGCAAGTAAGGATTTTTCGTCTTCATGAAGCTTTGCACATTGTAGTTCGAGATTTGCCATGGTTTACTGGACAACTTTTGGCCCGCAAACACTAAAACACTTATTTATCCGTCACATTAGTTCGAATGCAACCCAGTTTCCTACAGTCTTGCTGTGGTACGTGAATTAATTCATAAAGGAGGTTATGTCGTCGGCTCTGTATAACAGGAGTGCGATGCTCCTTTTAATAATAACTCGCTAAATACACGGAAATCTTTTAAACCTCCTCTAAATTAATTTTATTTAGAAGATTTGTTAAGCTTCCCATTGAGGGTACAATTAACTTTGGAATGTAATATATGTCAACTAACAGGTGCAGAATGTCAACCACTTCAAATGCATTCAAGGAACATGCAATCGGAGATGTAAAGGAAGATTTACCGCTGACCGAGAATGAAGATTTTAGCATCGTTAATGAGAAAGGAGATAATGTCATCGATCCTCGAATAAGTTTGCGAAGTCCATTAGATGAATTAATATCGAGAGAGTCTGGTAAGCTGGGACCATCCGACTTCAATGATACCGTGCAGTCTTCTGCCTCGACGACTATCATTCAAATGGAAAGGGAAGATAGCGAGAGAAGCGATAGTAATAAACAGAGGCATACCGAATCTATGGAGAATGACATAAGCTTTCTTCCATCTAGTGAACGTTAGTATGTTTTGTTGTTTTAACTACCTTTTTTATGTAAAATTTCAATCACCTACTAACGTGCGGGCGGTGCCATTCAGTGCTCGGATAGAACTACCTTTTTAAGGTTTCAAGCCATGCGAGACCAAGGTAATTGGATAATGAAATCAATGCCGTAATAATGTCACGTGTTCCAATGTAGATTTCTGTTACTGGAACACTAGTGAGTTTCATTCTCGCACAATGCCTGCATATTATACAAATAAACGAAAAATTAGAAGGTTCCAAGGTATGTTCGTAGATAACTGTTAATCACATCTGTTGAGGACTTGTATGACCGACCTGGATACGTTTGTGACAAATTTTCTTGTACTTTTTGCCTTAAGGAATTAATTTTTCTTTGTTACAGAAAGCATTGGCTCTGGCTTAGAATCTGATATCGAGGATAATGACAGTGATTCTGATATGACGCAAACACCAACTTTGAAATATGATCCTAACATAGATAATAATTTACCGGAAACAGTTGCTCTTCTTACAGCACAGGATGGTGGAAAAGTGTATCTAATCGGCACGGCACATTTTTCTATCGAAAGTAACAAGGATGTTGCAAAGGTAACTTTTAACACCTTTGAATAATTAGATCCTTTTCAAACTTATATATCATGTAACGTGTTTGAAAGGTGATTCAAATGGTGCAACCTCATATGGTTATGGTTGAACTATGCAGTGCCAGGATTCACATCCTGCAGTTAGATGAGAATACTATAATGGAACAAGCGAAGAACATTTCATTTCGTAAGTTATGAACTGCTAATGATTTTAAGTACGTTTCATCCAACTTATCATTACATTGTTTACAGAAAGTATTTACAATGTAATCAAACAGAATGGCGCTTTCAACGGGCTTATGTACATACTTCTTCTAAATATGTCTGCTCGTCTCACAAAAGAATTAGGCATGGCACCGGGTGGTGAATTCCGTACTGCTTTTGTTGAGGTTAGTTCGATACATTGGATTTTTCAATAAGTTTTATAATTGTCTAGGTCAAAATGAAATGTGTCTTAATTTTCTCTCATAGGCAAAGAAAGTTCCTAAGTGCATGGTTCATTTGGGAGACCGTCCCATCAACATAACCATTCAACGTGCCCTGAACTCTTTAACGTGGTGGCAAACCTTAAAAATGGGTTGGCATTTATTGGTGCCCAGTAAGGCTGTTACACTAGAAGAAGTTGAGCGTCTGAAACGTCGTGACTTTTTAGAGGAAGTGTTAGCAGAAATGGCGGGAGAGTTTCCGGCTCTTAGAGATGTGTTTATCAATGAACGAGATATCTTCCTAACCTATTCATTGCAATTAGCAGCTTTGTCTCAACGAACGCCACATGGTACAACCCCTTGTCGGGTGGTAGCTGTTGTTGGTATCGGTCATATGGCAGGGATAATCGAAAATTGGAGAAAAGTGAAACATTCGCAAATTCCTCCTATTCTAAGGTTAGTTCAACGATACAATTTTCTATATTACAATCTTGATTCTAAGATCTCTTCTGAAATGCACACTGATAATAGAAATAACTCATTAACAATATTTTTCTAACCACAGGATACCCCCACTTTCATTGTCCACAAAAATATTACGTTTCACGGTAAAGGCATCCTTATTGGGAACGGTCTTATATGTAGTATACAAAATCATTCCACTGCCTAGCGGCGCAACACTTCAATCAATCAAGTCATCGGTCGAGGGACTTTTAAAGGTCAGTTCACCTCGTTAATAATCTGCGATATAAAACTTTTCCCTGGTTCATCGATCGCATTTTATCAAAGAGGAACGCCTTTCTTTTTTACTGTTGTGCTGCTTCCTGCCGAAGTACTTCTCAATTCACTTCGGTTTTTACATTAACATATGAGCATATGATTACGGTGAGCATGAAGGCAAAAGCTGGCGAAGACCATTATGTACACTTGTCGGCTGAGGTAATGTACGTGGAAAGTAATATACCAGGACCTGGTGTGGATATCGATTACTTCGAGTCCGAATTCATCAAAGGCTGTTCTTGCGAACAACAATGTTTAGATTGTTGCTGCACTCGTGGTTCCCCTAATTACATCGATGGTCGCATACGCGACGAGAAAATTGCAGGTCCTGTCATTGAATGCAACTCGTACTGCAAATGTAGAGAGAATTGTGGAAACAGACTCATTCAGAGTGGCCCTTTAGACTGTCTACATGTGGCAGAGGCAAGTAACAAGGGTCTTGGGCTTTTCACCAAAACGTCGATAAAGAAAGGACAGTTTATTTGCGAATATGCCGGTGAAGTTCTAGGATCTACCGAAGCGATACAACGAATCAAACAGAACCAGAGGGACGGTGCCATGAATTATGTTCTCATGGTCTCCGAACATGTGTCAGACCGAACTATAATGACCTGTATAGATCCAAAGTATTTCGGCAACATCGGTCGATATTGCAATCACAGTTGCCAGCCTACCGCCACTCTTGTACCAATTAGAGTCAATAGCCCGATACCTCATCTGTGCTTATTTGCATCCAAAGACATAGACATCGGAGAAGAAATAACATTTGATTATGGGGGTGGCATGGTTAATTCCGTCCAAAATCTTAGCAAAACCCCTTGTCTTTGCGGTGCTTCTACTTGCCTTCATTACTTGCCACATCATCCACTTTAAAAACAAATAGGCTCCATAACTGCCATAAGTGAATTGAATAATTCGAAGGTCCAGGCTTCTCTCGTCAAACTCAGTCTTGCATTTTGTGCCTGTGATGCATTTCGTATTGAACCGTTCCATGATGAATAATTTCCTTAATTAGGTTTATACCTTTCGGTGCTCTAATTGGCCTCATGTAAACTAATTGTTACGGTCTGTATAATTCATCGGAATGTAGTTGTGCCAAAGGTGGAGGCATTCGACGTTACTTTGAAATTTAAACAATTTCGTCATCTATATGTAACGAGCTTTCGCATACTTCCATTCCAAACTTTACTCTTAATATTAAAAAGTAACCACTATTCGCTGGTGCTACGACTTTCAGATCTTACAACTAAAAGTGGGTATGCATCGAGTTGCATTGTACCATTAATTTATATTCTTAAAGAATATTATTTATTTTTCTTTGCTATAATTATATACATGAAAAAAAGTAACTATCGAAGCGGTATTGATTTGTTTTTATTATACAAAGTTAATTTGAAATGTGCGAAAGAAAGGTTATATATGTCATTTACTCTGTGGCTACGCGTTTCACCCACTGATAGGGAATTAATAATCTGCTTAATGAAAGGAAGAAAGGAAACATTTTATGTAAATATATGTGCCGCGGTGTGCACATTGCAGTTCACATAACAGGACACCAAAAGCGAAGAAGAAAACTAATTGAGAATGCTTGAGAGCTCTGTAGTTTAGTGTGCGTTTGATCGTCGAAGACGACTACTTGTACAGAATACTCGGAATGTTGCATTTTTTCTAGGGACGACTGTAGAATATTGTAAAGATTACGTTGGATAATGGTCAAAGGAATTAGGGGGTCTGTATATTGTCAAAGCGGAAGGTGGCCTGTTGTTACAATTTGAAGTGTTATAAATGTGTAAGAATAAAACACATAGGATATTGAATGTTGCTGAAGCAGTTTATTTATTAACAAAATTATCGAGTGACGCTTGGACTCCGAAACGTTCCACGAGCGTTCCTGACGCTTTCTTTCTTTTTTTTTATCTGAGTTAGATTATTCAACATCACCCACTCAAAGCAGTAATGCATGTGTTTAGAAGAAAGGATCCGTTGAACGTTTCGATTTTCAACCACGTGTTTACTTTCTACCTAAAACTTATTTGTATTTTTCAATGTTGGTGTTCTGAAATGTAGAAACAGTGATCTTAGCTTTTTTCTCTTCTTTTTAAAATATAAAGGCGTAATTAATTAAAAAAGCAATGAATAAAGCGGCCTGCCACGGCATACTTAGGTTAGGGCGACCGTAACCCGAAGTCCTTGGTTGAGTGTACATTCCATAATTGTCACCAGGATAACCTCTCGCACCAAGATCAGTTATTCGGAAGGTAGATCCACTGTGAGGATACTTTTTTATTTCGTCAGCACTTAGTCCTATTCGTGCTGAGGTTACGTATAACTCGTTGAGGTTTGCACCGCCCCAAGTAACTGAAGTCACTTGTGAGGCATTGATTGGTATTGTCTTTACTAACTTACCTTCGTCTGGATTAACAACGATTACCTGATAAAGCATCATTGGCGATATAAGAAAATTGATTACTGAGACATCATATAAAGCTATCCAGAGAGTTACCTGATAGCCTCCATAACAAGCGATCCAAAGATTTCCTTTTGTGTCAATCGTCATCCCATCTGGTAACCCTTTAAGCCCTTCTTTTGTTAAGTTAAAAATTGTTTGTCTGTTACCTAATTATTATTACCAGTAAAACATTAGAATTTTATTCATTATCAACGGAAATATCGTTTAAAGGCATTTGCATTTTACTGTAAGAGATTTAAGAAATGTAATAGAACAAAGAAGTAAGACTTACGAAGTGATTCGTCATCGGTTGGATTGAAGTCAAATTTATCAACAGTGTAGTCTCCAGAATCAATATAGTACATGACGCTTCCATCTATGGTCCAAGCTAGACCATTCGATATTAAAATATTTTCCAAATGTGATTTTAGTGGTGTTGTAGATGCGACGCTGTATAATTTTCCTGTTCTTAGCGTTATGTTATTTGGAGTGGGTTCGGGTCCCATGGTACCTGTATGAAGTATGCACTTATCTTAACAACAGCTTATTTTTCATCGGTTATGCCTAAGTTACATTGTTGCTTTTCTGTTTTACGTTTAAATCATAATTGATGAGAATTTGGGAATGTAGAATTTAAATAAATTAATAAGTATATCATAACTAGCTCATCATTGTAACATTACACACCAGCCCACAGCTGACCAATTCGATCTACTTTAGCATCGTTGAATCGAGACCCATCATGTTTCTGTGTCGCTGTGTAGAGTATGGAACTCTGTACTTGAGAATCATTCTGACCATCCCATGTAATATGTCTAATATCCAATCCTGTCGACACCAGGAATTCATCTGTTGTTCCTGCCACTGGTATTATAAAAGATACCGGTCCACTGCCTGAAATGTTTACTATTTATCGAAAGTTACCTAATGTGATATTTCTTTGTTAACACGAAAATTATCATAGTGGTTAGCAGGAATGTTTTTATATTATCTTCATAATATCAAAATGTTTACCTAAAGTAGTGGAGTTATGTTCTTTGGTTGCTGGGTCGTAGAGATTAATTGTGCCATTCGTAATGTCGACAAAGTAGAGAATTTGATTGAAAGCATTCCAGTGTGGACCTTCTCCGAGATCTAGTGGCTCAGTAATCCGTTCAATCGTGTAACACTGCCCTAGTCCGATGATGCACAATAATAAATATATTCGATTCATGGTAATCATTAAGAAATGTTGTCCGGAGTAGTTCCTAACTGTTGAGCAGACTGCGGATCACTAGCAGTTTTCCACCCAATACATCAATAGTTTGTTTGAACACTGCCGAAGAAGATATCTACAGTAACAAACACTCAAGACACTCTTGTTTAATACATTTTTTATACCAGTAATCTTGATAAAATGTTAAGATATAATTTTTCAAGTGTTCGCATCGGTACCATGCACTTCGTGAGATAGAGGAAAATACTTACCATGAAGTAGGAATCTTTTCAATCAGTGTTCTATAAATCGTACTTATCATTTATACGAGGTTATCAATTCAGCTTGCCATCAATCTTTGTATTAAAGGCATGTATTACTTATCTGAAGAAGCATATCACGCTTTGACGTCTACACTATGGGTATGTTTGTTGTTGCTAGTAAAAAAACAGTAGAAGTCATAAAACAAAGGAAGAAGTCATGGCCAATTTGTGTTAATTCAGGTTTACGAACTTCTGTGTTTACTTTAAAATAATTTGAACGACTGCATATTTAACAACTGTCTTATTTTTATTTATCATACACTTTACCTTCTATAAATAATTTTTTATTTTTTTTACAATTTTCTTATGTTACAGCTTTGGGTGTTACCTAATCAAACTATATTTTTAGTCTAACAATAAGATGTAAAATCTGGATTACTTGAACCTCAAATATGATATTTGATTTAAATGGTTGACATATAGGAATTGCGATATATGATAATAAATAAATAATGTTACTTTACATTTTAACATCTGCTACTTAAAAATTAAAAGTTGTAGTGTAATGACTACTACATAATACCATTATTAGTACCTGTCATTGTATTTATTCCTTTGTTTAACCAGTCGACTATTTATGCCTATAATTTTACTTACAATGAGCTGTGATGGGCGAAAGTAATGTACGTTTCAAACATATAGACCTAGGGAGTATTTTATTACCAATTTCAAGATGACCCATCTGAACATGGATTTGCAAGAATATAAATAAAACACTCCACTTCGTATAAACCAACCAGCAGTTTTAAGATTTAATGCATTGCAGCTTCCGATTGCTCATTGGACGCATTGCTATATCTCCATCTCCACCAAGTAACTTTCATGCGATCCCAAATATTCTCCCAAGAGTCCATCGCTGGCCGCACATCCAAAAGCGCAAATGTATACTTTTTGTCTACTGTACCACCGTCATAATAATCAATAACGTATCTAACATCCTTCCCACATCTGTCTATGATCCAGTCATGACGATCGAAAGGTAATTCATACCTGCATATAAAGAAAATTTACATATTTTAATAATCTCTTACCGCTACCTTTGAGAAAAAAATATAATATAAGTAATCGCTTACCCCATCCAGTAACGGATGCGAGCACGAGGAGAATATTGCGTAGCTTTTCCACCAAAGCTTTTTAATTTTGGAGTACAACATTCACGTGCATGAAGTGCTTCCCACTTCAGTACTTCTTGCCATGCCTGCTCGTTATTAGCATTGTGAATCTTGATAATATCATCCATATCTTTAGGTGCTATATCATCACTTTTCCAGCGCCATCCTTTCCTTAACATGGCATTCCAGAACATTTGCTGAGAAGGATATACCCAAAATTCTCCTTCACCCGTAGCTTTGGGAATTGTCGATACTTGCCTATCCGTAGGCAACGGGAAAGGTTGATCAGGCGCTGGCAGCTGATTCGCAGGAGGCATCTATATTCATATAAATTAATAAGTTTGGCAACGCATACTTAAAAGTATAGAATAAATTATGGGATTGCGGTTTATACCATATTGAGTGGATTAATGTCACTCTCGTCTGACTTATTTATTGGACATTCGCTGGCAGATTTTCCAGTTACTGGTTGAGCTTTAGACTTATGCATAGGACATTCGGCTGGAGGCTCTCCTTGAAAAGAAGCGTGCATATATTTTGTCTTTGGTAATTCATGATCACGATTTTGGACAATGACGTCTGCAGCCGAGACAGTGGCCATCGTTATCGTATTCCCCATGCTTTCCTTCGTTAAGGGACTGGCTGTAATGTTTGTATGGACAAATGTAAATACCACAAAGTCAAAACAGAACAATATTTCTTTTGCTATTTAAATATCGCAAACTTCTAAGCAGTCGATAAGTTAAGATCTAAATTTCAAATCATAGGGCGCATTACACAGCGTATTTTTAAGAATAAAATACGCGACCAGAAATAGAAACATTACAAAACAGACATTTTGCAAGATCTGTAACGAGGTGAAACTCTAAGACGTGTGCGTGGTAACTTAACCTCAAAGAGCCAGTTCTAATCTTGTAACGAAACACGTTATAGACAATGATCGATAATTTCTTCAATTAGACATCGTAACTGAACTATTTTTAAAAGGATTCAGTATTCAATATTATAGATTCGAAGCCTCCTAACAGCTAAAATGTCGAGGAAGGAACTCACTAAACGATGATGTAATTGACGTCCGCGTGGAGTACACCACTGATGAAATTACTTAGAGTATTGAACGACGAATCTTAATGTACAAATTTATTGCTCTTATCACAGTACAATTAAGTCAACACGGTAAAATACACATTTTTGTTGTTTGAGAACTGAAATATCTCAATTCCGAGCTCTCTATTTTGTTTCGAAACCGATTTTGCCAAGGTTCTGAAACGTCCGGCAAGATGGCGCCTCGAGTCGCCACAAGAATTCGCGTTTTTCCGAAAAGATGGCGCCACATTCGGGCGAGTCGCCATATTGGCAATTCATACACCGCTGCCAACATTTCAACATTTAGACGATTAGTTCACAGAAGATATCCTTTCCTACTAATCAAAAGGTTAGATTAAAAATAAGGAGGAATGAAACGAAACCAGGATTTGTATTTTATGCATTTTTTATTTAAAATATATTATTAATGTATATACACTCAGTACGGGCAGCAAGAGAGTACTCGAATTGAACGCAATTCGTGCGAGCTCGTTTCTGTATATATACAAAAAGATTCTCCAGCGATTCAGTGGACAAACTAAAAACAAGTCTCGCGGAATCCGTCCGAGAGGCGATTTCGCTTCGCACCAAAACACCCGAAGGGACATCGGAACTGGAAGAAGCAGCACCAACTTATCCGTGGCTCAAGCGAATCGCTAAAGATACGATCCATAAGAGAACAAACAGGACTTAAACTCTGGAATAAAAAGGGTGAAAGAGAAATAGAGTGATCCGCGTCCGCGAAAATCGGTTGGCAGCTTCCCTGCTCGCAAAATCCAATCCAATGCCGAAGCGTCGGCGTTCTAATCGTGGAACCCCCGGCCGCCATATTGGATAACGGCTTTCGGGGAGAATCTCGATAAACGCAGGGAATAGCATCTAAAATTAAGTTAATTTGGTGCCAGGTGGATTTCTCAAGGCATTATTCACGTGCCCAGCCTCGATTTAAATGGGAATTCGAAGCGAGTCAGCCGTTTTAAGATGTCATGCTAGGCCGACCAGTCGTCGAGGGTCGGTGACCTCCAGACGCGCGCAAGTCCCTCAGAAATGCGAACGATCTCGTCGATCGTCGCCAGACATTAAAAACCGACGCACGATGGACGATCGAGGGTGGAAAGGAGAGGGAAAAAAAATAACAATGAGAAGAAGCCGATTATCCGCTTCCTGAGGAACTTGAGACCCGGAGCTGTGCACTCAGAAAAATGCAAATGGCCGCCCTGACTGACGCTTTGGTAGAGCGCGAGAACAGGGGCTCGATTCTCAACGTCATACAATCAAATATCGCACGCGAAATTGATAGTTTCGTACACTATTTTCAAGCTTTGACCAATGACGCAACTTTGTAACAATGCCAATGTATATGTACGCAAAAAAAAATCCGCATAAACAAACCGAGAAACGTTCCCCTGACGTCGCTTCCCCGGTAACGTATCCGAATGCCGTTTAGTTCGTGGCTTTTGCTAACGAGGGCGTTCCCTCCCGCTTGTTTTTGTAGGACTTTTAGTCGGGGCCTACATTTCTCTCAGTGCGGAGCCGGGAATTCAATTCCTCGAGATCTTGGCGGACTCCTTGTTGCCGGTCACGTGTTCCAGGTCGAGACCGTCGTACTCTAAGGTACCAACATTGTCGTAGTACGCGTAATCGTAATCGTTCTTCTTTCCGGTCTTGGGCTTGGGCGTGGTCGCTTCGGAGAATCTCGCCGTCGTCGAGAAAGGTCTTGCAGAACCGCTGACGTAGGTGGTGCTTCGAGGCGTCGTCTGCGCAGCCTGTGGCCTCTGGGTACTGACGAAGGTGTTCGGGTTGTACGTGCTGGGGGCACCGGTTCTCCTGGAAAGTGTATCAAATCAGGTGATGATGATCCTTGTTTAATGTCAAACTACTTTTACAATCTACTTTCAACCCTCTATTGTAACTTATCCTTGTACGTGCTTTCAGAAAACAACATTCAACGACACGGATACCTGGGAACTGGAGTTGTAGACCTGGGCGATTCCGCAAGGTGGTTGATGCTAGACGGACTGAACCCAATCCCCGAGGGCGACCTTCCGAAATCGTAGTTGTCATAATTTCCGGTGCTCGTTTCGTAGTATTTGTTGTCATAGTTGTATTGCGTCGCCTTTTTCGGGGCTTTCGTGGTGTCGTAGAATTGCGTGGACTTGGCCTGAGCGGACTTATCGAAATACTGCCCGTTATCATTATTCTGGGCATTGTACCGATCGCCGCCTCTCGCGTTGTTCTCGGTGTTGATCAGTTTCTTCGTTGTAAGGGGGCTGTACGTAGTGGGGACGTAGCTACTAGCTGCATAATTATTCGTTAGATATTTCTGCGTTGTCTGGACGATATCCTTCCTCGTGGTCTGAGCGGCGGGTCTGTTGTATTGAGCGTCATTTGCGTTAACATTATGGTTGTCATAGAATGTAGGGGCGGCTGTCGTAGTAGAGTACCCTGCCGAGGCCGTGGTTCTCTGGATATTGTTGTAGTTTCGTTGCTGAAACGTTGTATAATCACTGGCCCTGTAGTTAGTACTCGGAGCCAGGGTTGTAGACTGACTATGCACCTGCTGGCTGAACTGATTAGCGAAACTCGCTTGGTCGTTGTAATTCTTGTTGTTGTAGCTCACCGGCTTCGCGGTTGTGCTCGGACTCTGGTTGAACCCGTTGAAATTCTGGTTACCATTGTACGCGTTGTTAAAATTGTTGTACTCGGTACTCTTGGCGGTAGAACTGGGCGACTGATAGTTGTTGTATGTCTCCTGGAACACCGTGGTCGGGCGGTAGGTCGAGGACGACACTGTGAATTTCTGATTCACGTTCGTGCTGAAATGTTCCTGTTGTTGGCTGGATGGCCTCACGGTTGTCGAGGATGGGAACGACGTACGTTGTCGCTGGTTGTAATTGTTTGCGTTGTAATAGCTAGGGCTGGCTGGTGCTGCCGTGCTGGAGGAAAAGAAGTCGTTGTTGTTGCCGTTGCTGTTGTATTGTTGCTTCCTCGCTATCTTCCTGACCCCCGTCTTCTTCCTCTCCGGTATCGGCTCCTCGCGGTACACTTTCTCGTTGTCGTAATCCTCGTCCTTGGCGGCGTTGCGGTTGTTGTAGAAGGCCCCAGTGTTACTGCCACGAGCTACGTCCTTGTTCTTGGTGTTGCCATTAGCGTTGTAGTTGTTGGACGACACCCTGGTTAGAGAATTCGCCGAAGATCGCACGGGATCATTGGTCTCGCTCCGCTGGAGATGGTCCTGGGGCTCGGCATCCGTACGGATGCTGTCGTAGTGCAAAGATTCGAGTCCTGAACCTATTCGGTACAGGTCAAAGTTGTCACTAGCGTAGTACAACGTGGCAGCTTCGCAATCCACGTCGTACCAATCCGCGCAGGTCTGACTCTCCTGGTCGAAGGCTGTGTCGTTTGGACACAGGAACCTAGTAAAAAAAAAAAACACATATTTAATATTCTTAGTAAATTTACATAATGAGTAATGAATTTCTGGAGAAAAAAAATTCTTTTAAGGAAACTATTTTTTTGAAAGAGAAGAAAAAAATGTTTTCTTAGGGTAGAACACTCTGTTTATGTTCCAGGGGATGATTTGACGGCCTTGACGTACTTGTAGTCTTGCACGGTGCCTGCTACAGAGACGCAAACGTGGAAGAGCTGACAGTCCGTCTCGGGGTCGGCGTAGTAGCTGCCGACGATCTTATTGCGACAGGTGAACGATGTTTCCGGCATGTACTGCTGAGAATATCTCGGCGGAGGCCGCTGAAGACCCAGAATGCAACTCCACAATACTCCCACTATACACAACGAAGAGTAATAATTGCAGAAAGGTCTATTCATATGTCCCTCGACTCTCCACATCAGAGATTCGACACTACACGGTTTCGACATAGTCTCTCAAGAAAAAGAACACGCTAACAACGAAGTCGAAATCCCTCGATTTCACTCATCTCAGTCAATGAGGTCGTTGACGATTTCAATTACGCGGAAATTAATCAAGTAAATGGAACACGAAAGGCGCCTTCGTAATTTCCACCCTGAAGGAAAACAAAATTCATTGAACCAGAGAAATAGCTTGTTAATTCAAAGAATAACTATTTTACTCAAACATACTCAAAATAATTATCAGAATTCCGAAGATACCTTGCGTCCAATTTATTCGCGTTTGAGTCGAATTAATTAATTCCTTGAATTAAGAAAATATTTCTTCTACATTCAAGGGAATGTTCCTTTGGTTCAATGAAATGTTCTCCCTCGCAGATGTAACGAAAGTAAGGGAATCGTTCGCTGATTTTTTGCGATTATTTGTACGTTTGTAGTTTCCTTTATCTTTAAGTCGTAATTACGTAATTATATTATATTACGCCGAGTCGAGTATACCGGTCGAGTTAGAGAGATAGATCCTGTGTCATTTGTTAAGAGTAGCTGTTGGTGATAAATAATTCCCGAGTGCGCGCGGAATAGCGATTCCTGGATAAGAGAGCTCCGCCAACGTCGTTAACCTTTATTGCCGCAATTTAGTAACAATTAACCCAATGAAACCGCTAATTAATTGATTGTTCCGCCGTTTTCCCGTTCCTAGGAGAAATTGCACGCGTCTACAGTTAAGCGGCAATAAATGTAATGCGTCTTACTGTGTGTGCGTTCTCTCACGGTGTGCGAAGGTAACCGATGCGGAGATGTTAGACGGATATGGATAAATCGTTTTCTCACTGAAATCTACATAATAGGTGAGATATTCACGCAATATACGCTCTGTATACTCCCCATTAAACGGCAATGCCCGCGACCGAGAAACCGGAACGCTGTGTGGGAGGATTCCGTGTCAAAAGAGAAGCGTTCATGCCAAAAGAAAGCACCGAGGTGCGACTAAACTCCTAAAGAGAACAAAATTGATTTTCACCATTCTCGACACGCCCTGAAAATCACTCTACACCACGAATTTATCTCTATCCATATCCCTTTAAACATCTTAATTTGTTAATACGAAAATTCTCGCAATTTTACAAATATTATAACAAAACATAACTGCCTCATAAATTAGCGAATCAACGCCAGCAACTGGTCAAAGACATTTAAAAAAAAACCGCAATCTTTAGCCTCAATACATTTCTTAAGTCGTTTTGGAAAATTGGAAAAATTGTACAATTTGACAATTTCGGTAACCTTCGCTGCACTCTGCGCCGAGAAAAGCATGTTCATTGAACCAGTGAAATATTTTGTTAATTCAAAGAATAATTATTTGACTTCATCCGAGTTTAATGATTATTCTTTGAATTAACGAAACTTCTCTGGTTCGATGAATTTTTTTTTCTCAAGGTGCATACCGTGGTCTCTTCGGCAATTTCACTTGTTATTGAAAATCGTTAATTATAGCGTCATATATTTAGTTATAAATAGGAGGGAGATTAATAGAGGTCCTTTTTTCAGGATACTTGCCGACAATCAGGCCGAAGAACGTCCTAAAGGACGTCATAGTGTCCACCGGAGGAGGCGCGAAGACGACGAGAATCGGACGTTCACTTTCACAAGTCTCAGGCAGAGAAGGAGTTTTTCGCAGGTACCGTCTCGAGGGAACTCGAGGATGCGACTGGTGGTCCCGCTGGAGAACGGGTCGCCGAAGAAGAGCCTCTCAGGGATGGCTAGGAAACGGCGAACGGCTTTCTGGGAGGATGTTACCTCGGGAAGGGGCACCAGGAGAACGTATCGGAGACGTAACTATTCTCCTCGTTACGTCACTGGGAACCCTTGCGAACGTCAGAGGGACGTAAGTGCCGAGGTGCTAGAAATTAATCTCCCCATATCGGCGAGCACCTGTGAATTCTTCTAAAAGCGAGCTTTACGGCTTCCCAGTTTGCCTCGTCGACAAACGAGTTTCGTACGCAAAAGAAGAGGTGATAAAAAACGCGAGATGGCTGGAGATAGTTCATGGTTGGAGAAGATATTTATAATTTATCACCTTCATCTTAGGATATAATTAAATATTCATTAAGCATGTTAATTTTTTATGGATTATTTCGGCCCAACGTGCCCTCCGACTTCATTATCGATAGCATTCCCGGCAGGATCTTTTTGCATTCAGTGCTACATTAATAAGAACTCATGGAAATTAACGTACATTGTTACACATAACTGACGTTTCACCTAGAAAAACGTAGAATGGAAAAATTACAAATTAGGCAACGTATAAATACACGTAACAGGGTAAATTTATCGAATTAGGGCGTCTTTACTTGGATCAAATGTAATGTTATATTATAATCTTCTTTATTTTAGCTTAGATGCTGAATGCGATATTTCAAAGACGATGTAATTTTACTGCTTTTTATTGTGGCGTCGAAATAACCGATTGTTGGGTATGTAAATTTACGTGGGTATTTTTATCAGGGTTGTTATCCATGAATTAAATTCCTGATCGTGTCGACAGGTCGAGGAGGGGCGAGGGGGAGGTGGGCGGAGGAGAAACCGTACACCGCACCTTTACAAGAAGAGGATCGGTGATCTATTCATCAACCACGAACTCGACTTCTTCGCTCTTCCGCACAGAGATACGTCCTTCTACAACCTAGTCTCCTCGACCGACTTCGTCGACTTAATAGGAGACTTCGAGGGAGTGCTGGCAACATTCCTGGAGTATGGAAGATGTCGAATAACGATGACGGTGATGGGGTTACCACGGGCATGCCGATGAATCTCCGTTCTACAAGGCCGGATTCGAGAGATGATCCTTGCAATGTCTCGTTTCACCGGTAAAATGAAAAAAAGGGTAATTAATTTCCTTTTTGCTTTCCTTGTCGCGTTTCAGGGACATTTCCCTCTCAAGAGGAGCGATTTCCAGCTGATATCCAAGCATTAAGATCCATGATTTTCTGAATGAATAACTCCTCGTATTACTCCTTAGAGCTTAACGTACGAAATGTCGTGTATCATATGAAATCGAAGGTAATCGGTTCTCAAGGAAGGAAATCATTTTCGCGTGAATAGTCCTTCGGCAAATCTACTCCGCCGGAAGAGGCTCGTTCGAGTCCCAAAGCCGCCGTCAAAGGACCAAGATGTCGAAAGGATGCAAACGAGAGTGAACGGCAGGCGAAGTCAAATCGAGTCAAGTGAAATGGAAAGCACGATCGGCCGGAATCGCGTGGACCCTCGGCGATCGTCGCCTCGGAAGATCGGGGTCAGGAATCGTGGTTTCGCAATCGTCAAGATACTCTGGCGCCCCAGGGCGTCGTCGAATCATCCTCGCTCGACGTCGGGGGGCAAAAAGACTCGCCTTGATCCCCGGATTGGCCGAGGAAAGTGTCGACTCCTGTGTACGCCCAGACTGGCCCTCCTTTCTCTAAATCGTTACGAAAGGCAATCCCATCGTCGGTTTTCTCCGGCGGAAGTGACGACTCGCGACCTCCGGTCTCGACCTCGAGGTCGGACTTCCGGAGTGAAGTCGAGGTGTATCCCAGGAAGGTGCGACGATTTTTTTTATCTCTTTCGCTTCCTTCCAGGAGGCGCGAATGTGTCGAGGTAAGACTTCCGGAATGAAGTCGAGGTGTATGCAAAGAAGGTGCGACGATTTTTTAATTTCTTTCTCTTCCTTCCAGGAGGCACGGATATACCCAGGTCGGACTTCCTGAGTGAAGTCATAGTGAAGTCGAGTTCCAGGAAGATGCGAAGATTTTTTCTCCCTCTTCCTTCCAAGAGGCGAATTAGGGAGGCGCGAATAATCGTGAACGCGCTGGAGTGGCGACGAGGTCGACGCAGGAATCTTCTCAGCCTTGGAGGGCGAAAGTTGTCTTCGGCGGTTGGCTCGCTCATAGATGGCACGATATTTACACCTATAGGCGATCCACGAAGAGAATGCCCGAGCCATCCTCCGGTCTCCTCCAGGATTCCCCCTGAAGACCGCTCGCAAAGGTATCACCGACCACCGCTCGAAACTCGAAGTACACGCGAGAGTATATTACGGTCATTAGAGGCCTAAGTACGACCTAATAGATTTATTGCGGCAGAAACGAAGTTTCCAGGTGTCGTTGCGCTCGTATGCATCTAAAGATACCCTCAAAAGTGCCCGTGTAAATTTGCATACTCGATCATTAGTAATTGCGCTACCACAATAAATTACCGTTAAATTACATTTAATTCAAGTAAAAACGAACTAATACGGTAAATATACGATGTTACGTGTATTTATACATTTTTTAATTTGTAATTTTTCTACTTTACGTTTTTCTAAGTGAAACTTCGTTCATGAAGTTTGTAAAAATCTATGTGAATTTCCATTGATTTTTATCAGTGCTCTTAACTCTTTTCAACTCGCTTTTTATTCGATTCCAGATTCTTCCTTCAAAGCGGCCGCACTATAGGTCGCCGCTTTTTCAAAGGTCAGAGAGATTAGTACCGCTTGTTGTTAATTGCCGTACCTGGCGTTGACTTTTACATGAAAACGTAAGGCGAGAAGTTTGCAAAGACGCAGATTAATTTCCTGGTGATAAGTAACGGACCGTGTTTTCCAGAATGCGGAACAATGGCGGCCGGCCCGCCTAGGAGGTCATCTTCTTGTAGCAGTCACGACGACGGCGCGCCATCTTCGGAGAAAGTGGAAAAGGTCAAAGTAATAAGCTGTCGACGGGGATCGGGACTCTGCAGCTGCCATTGTCACTGTCAGCAGTAAATTCAAGAATTAATGGAACGGTTCCCACCTCGACGGCAAGATCGCGACGCGGAACAGGAGACGTAACGTCGCAGCGCCGCGGAAGACCGGAAGCCCTGCGATGTTTATAACGCGGAATAGTTACTTAAGCGGATGCAAAAGGGTGCCAACTATATGCAGCTACATCGCTCTTCCGTCAGGGGTTACGAAGTAACCGCGGTACAGCCATGTACCATTATTTATTAACCGCGGTGCCGCGAAGGTTTGCCTCCTCCATTTCGGCTCCTACATTCAGAAAAACATTTGATTAAGTCGAAACAATTTTTATTGGTTTAAGGTGATTTAAAAGTAGGTACTATTCAAAGAATTCTTTATTTGGTTCAATGAAAAGTGTTTCTCAGCGTGGAGGAGTCTAGAGAATGCTAATCGTATCGGCAGCCATGGACCGTGAAACATCTCGCTCGCTCGAGATGAATATTTCTCCGTGCAGATTGCCAAACGAAGGAAAGAAAGTCGGCAGACGTAATTAAGTAATGATTTGGTGGCTCGTGGCCGGCGATACGGTACGATCGACCGAGTCTTTTTCCTCGGGAAAGAAAGTCACCGGGCTTTGTTGCGGATTTCGAAGCCAGGAATCGGCGTTTAGGACAAAGAGCGTCGATCAGAGGATCGGTGCGATTTATCGGAGTCGGGTGAAGTGCAGGTTTATGCTTTTTCCTGGCCACCTGCAGGTCCCTCTTTCAGGGAGCCTTTTTAAAGGTGGCACAGGTATAATAATAAGAAACTGCGATCGCCGATAGATTCTCACGATGAGAAGCGTTGAAAAGCGTCGTCGATGACGAAATACAGAGGCGGCTGCGACAAGCTCGCCTTGTGCATGAATGGTCATCCGGTGGGCATTTTTCTGTTTTTCTAATTTTCTGTGGTTCTTCGGATGACCATCTTGGACGGCGGACATCCTTGCCCACGCGAAGGACCCTGGGGAAAAGAAAGAGCGAGGGTGGGCGAGGATGCGCGCGTGCAGATGCATATCTTGCTAGCATTCGCGAAGGCCATCGTTTCCAACTCTTGAGTCGCGTCACGACCGAGCGATCCGTGACACGGTTTAGTCTTTCGAAAAATTCACTCCTGGTGCACGAATTCTCCTGAGGCACATCCTTAGGTTAGATCGATATTATTGGAAAGTCCCATCGATATGCCACGGCACCTCTGACCTGGGAGCACGTAACACGGCCCGGAAAAGAAACGAGCGGGACCTCAATGGGAGAATTGATCAATCCCGATTAAAAATGATAACCACTTCCTGCACCTCAGGGATAAAGAGAGATTCGAGGAAATATTCATAAACGTGTGTATACGTAGTCACGAAGAGCTGCCACGCGTCGGAAATTATTTTTTTAGGCATCGGTTACGGTCATCCACTCGATTGAGATTTATCATAGTTACAGCTGTTTACTATTTGAGTTCCAAATCGCTTTTAAGAGGCGGAAGCCTAGGCTAAGTGTTTTCGTCGGGAGCCCCGGGGCAATTCGTCATCCGCTCCTCTCCAGCACCTGGTCTTACATTAGCCCACTCCCAGAAAACAAGAGAAAGCGAGCCAATATCGTTTGCTAACACACGAATAGCATTTTTCAGATTACGCATTGTCCTCCTGTCGTCTGTCAAGTACGGAGAGTCGCCTGTCCCTCCCAAACCAGTCCTCGTGAAATGAGACCATACATGAGCATCAGGTAACACTCTTAACCGCATTCGTGAAATCGTCTACAAATTAAATTCATAACACGGTTCATACGATATGTACAAAAAGTCAGATAATTATTGTACCAAGGCCTGAGTAAGCCTTTCAAAACATTCATATAGAATTTCTATTTTCTCATGATATCTTATTTTAACAGTGCGTGTCCGGGAGATGCGCAGTTAATGGCGAAGAAAAGCGTGCGTGAAGTTCTATGTGAGTTCCACTTGAA